ACGATGCGATAGTTGACCAAATGCTGGTACCAACCTTCAAGATATTTAAGTATATGTTTTGTGATTTCTTATTCAGAATCAAATTCTAACAGAAGACTCGGGTTTCTTTGCAAAGGTTTATCCGTACAGATCTCTTCCAAGAAAGGTGCAGCCCCAGTTTTATTTTGTGGTCTCAGCAGTGCTGTTATGTGTCAAATATATCTTTGGTTTATAAAAAACATGGTTCCCCGGAGATTCTGGGAAGGCTGACCATTAGCACAAAATGACATTTGATTTCAATTGTAAGCTTTGCTAGTTCAAGAGCAGTGTCTATTTTCTTCATAGTTATTTGCATGGTGCTGAGTGCAGTGGCTTTTACATAATATATGGCTATTAAGTGAATGAACAAATTCAAACCCCTGGGCCATCACCCCTCTGAGCTATGAAAAATCTAAAGAAACATCAATGAAGTTCACTACATAATATAGGGTAGAGTCAGAAAACTGTATTCAAGACCTGTTTCTGAGAAAAAGAAGATGTGTGGCCTCAGAGTTCTCACCTTTCCTGTCTTTAAGTTTTTCTCTCTGTAAAATGTGGTAAATTGGAAAGGATGATTTGAATGTTCCATCCAGCTCCAGCAATCTAAGAGTATCTAATAGAAATTAAGAAGCAGAAAGATGATGACCAAAAGGACAGAGGTCACTATTGGCAGCTAGAAAAAGACTCAAGGGCATACATAGTCAAAGTGCTGCTGGCCATGGACCACTGACAACCCCTACCAGGGAACACTAACTCTGTTCTAGCAGCTGGAGATGGGGATGTGGAGATCATCTTGACTGTCAAAAAGTGCCACCAACAAGCATTTAATCAGCAACTGACTTGAAACTCAAGGACTCTTTCCGCACAAGTAGAGTGACAGGATTTGACCAGTTTTAGGCATTTCTGTCTTACCCTCCCTCCACCAACGCATGACTGGATTGCATTATTACTGATTGTGCCTTCTGAAGACATATCCAAAACCCAAAAATCAAAATACTATTTGTCTCTTGAGACTGTACCATTATTATGGAAGCGATTGTTGCCTGATAAGGTTGTCTAAATCAGCAGACTCTTTTCCTTCCTTTCCTTTCTATTGTTAAAAGTTAGCAAACCACCATGGAATACTATGCAGCAGCAAAAGAGAAGGATCTCTTACCCTTTGAGACAGCGTGGAGGGACCTGGAGAATATTATGCTAAGTGAAATCAGTCAGTCAGAGAAAGACAAGTATCACATGATCTCACTCATATGTGGAATCTAATGAACAGAATAAACGAAAGAACAAAATAGATCCAGAGACATGGAAGCATGGAACAGACTGATGAATCTCAGAGGGAAGGTGGGGGTGGGAGGT